GTGCCTGCCACTAAAAGTGGATCCTCCACATCAGAAAATAAGTTAGATTGTCACTTACTCTTTAAAGGCACTGGGCACTAGGGGTGTGCATGGTTCGGTCCAAACCGAAAAAACCGACCGAACCGATTGAAAATCAACGGTTCGGTTCAGTTTTAACTCTCAATCGGTTCACGTCGAGTTGAAAATTTTTCAACCCGAACTGCCCGAACCGACCACCCATTACCCATGCCCATTTTAACCTAACCCGTCGAACAACTCGAACCTGACCCGTGTTCTGTTCCCTCACGATAAAATCCCAAAATCTAACCTAGCTCTCCATTCTCCAAATCTTCTCCAACCTCAGATCCAGCCGCCGCCACCGCTCCAGTCCGTCAACGCCCTCCGTCTCCGTCTCCTTCTCCGGTTTCTACGTCTGAAACAAAACCTCCTTCAACAATGGTAAAGGCGTCGTCATCCTCGCCGGCGATTTCTATATCGCCATGGAGCATAGACTCCCTTCGCTCATCCATCGCTCCTCTCCCCACAACTCACGTCCATTTCCCATCTCCGAAGCTGCTCCCTGGCGATGGAGCGCACAGGATCGAGCTTGAGATCCTTCTCTGGAGGCGTGCCGGTCTTCCCTTTACCCTTCTCTTCTGGTCATTTCATCCTCTTCTTCTTTTACTTTTATTTTGTCACTAGTGCTTTACCCTTTACCCAGCTTACCGTAATGACATAATTTTTCATGTTAGTGCTGTAATATTTTTGTTGAGATGCCTGGACATAATACCCGTGTTCTGTCCCTGTGTTTATTTGCTTGGATGCCTGGATATATACTCTTGGGACAAGTAATATTTGTGCCTTTGATTGTTATACTTGATGAAGTTAGAACCGAACAAACCGAATCGAACTGCACCGAACCGATTTGCAACGGTTCGGTTTGGTTTTGAATTGTAGGCGGTTTGGTTCGGTTGTTCAAATTTTGGTAAAAACCGACCCGAACCGAACCGTGCACACCCCTACTGGGCACTATTCGTGAGTACAGTACTATTCATAAGTACTATTACTATTCACAAGTACGGTTCGAGAAAAGATAAAATCTTTCGCCATGAGATCTACAGTTGAAGACAATAGGATTCGGATTGAGAAATTCGACGGCCAAAATTTTAGGTATTAGAGGATGCAGATAGAAGAATATTTGTACCAGAAGGATCTCTTTCTACCCCTCCAAGGAGTGGAGGGGAAACCTAAGAAGATGGACGATGATAAGTGGAAGGTGCTCGATCGTAAAGCACTTACCACCATCAGGCTCAATCTTCACCAGCATGTGACTTACAATATTTCGCATGCGACCACCACAAAGGAGTTGATAGAGGCCTTGGAGGCGCTGTATGAGAAGCCGTCTGCTTCAAATAAGGTGTACCTGATGAAGAAGCTATTCAATCTAAAGATGCAGCAAGGAGGTCGCGTGGCAGACTTCTTGAACGAATTTCAGGCTGTGGTGCAACAGCTTGCTGCAGTGGATCTCAAGTTCGACAATGAGATCCAAGCTCTTCTGCTACTTTCTTGTCTACCAGATTAGTGTGAGAATTTGGTGATGGCGGTGAGCAACGCTAATGTCAATAACAAGATGAAGCTCGACATGGTGATTAGGGCAATTCTGGATGAAGAATCTCACCGCAAAGTCTCAAGAGCTGAGGCCTCTAGCAGTAGGAGTGTGTTTGTGGAAAATTTAGAGTAAAAGAAATGAAGGAAAATTGATCTGTATTCCTTTAATCTCAATTACAATTAAATTTCCTGATTACAAAAGAGATGAGAATGATCTGAATTCTCCACTTTGTTTAATTCTGGGTTCTTCACAGTGGCGATGGAGTACCTCCTTCGATTGCTCGCGTCGAATTTTCTCTCCGTTGACAATCCGAACGTCTTGATTCACTGGAACAATATCTTCTCCTCACGATTCGACGCTATGGAGAACTTACGTGGCAAGTTTAAAACTCTTGATGAGTTGATAACCCTGAACGAGTTTGAAACTCTATAAAAGAGTTGATTTGAACCGAAAGTCGGTTAATCCGCCAAGGCCGAAAGCTCTCAGGACTGCTCCCAAAAGATGAATGTTGATCTCTCTTTTGTGCAGTTTTGATCTTCAAAACTCCAAATCGAAGATCCCCAAGAAGAAGCCAAAGATCTCCTCCTCGCTGCCAAATCTCAGATCCAAAAAGCCAGCTTGAACTCAATTAAGTTTACCCATATTTATAGGAAATTAAGGGGTGTAACCGCCCCCTTAATCCGCTCCTAAGTGGGGCGGAAATCCCTCAAATCGTGGAGGGAAAACGGTTCCTGCAACCGTTCAGCTCGTGTTTGAACGAGTCAAACGCCCACATTGGCGTTCAAGACCCTAACTCCGCGTTTTAGAATAAAGACGCAGAGTTGGATACTCGTTGGGTGTTAAAAAACACGAGGGCCGCTCGTGTTTTGGAGTCTGAATGTTGGAAACGCGGGGGTCGCCTGTGCTTCGTTTGCTGAAGGTTGGAAACGCGAGGGTCGCTCGTGTTTTGCTTGTTGAAGCTTGGAAACGCAGGGGTCGCCTGTGTTTCAGGAATTGAAACGCGAAGATGAATTTCGCGTTTTAGAAGGAGCCAATGACTTATAGCTTCTTCTGCAGAGCGTTGCAAAGACTATTATATTGTAATCTTCATCTTGGCTCCTTGAAAATATGAGAGTCGTTAGATTGTAACTCCCGATGTTGATTGTGAAGGTTGTTGATTAGAGCTTTCATCAGTTGTTGTGAAGGTTGTCAGATTATAACCTTCATCGATCTATGTGAAAGTCTTTAAATTATAACCTTTTGGAAGTCGTCAGATTGTAACTTCCATCATCGGTGTTTGATGAGGGATCAGCTATCTATTTTGATTTTTAGACAGCCTACAGAACCCCCTCCAAAGTTTTTGAAAGTTCGCGGTTGACTGGGACGAATTTTTGGAATACTTTGGATCTCAACTCTAATCTTGGAGCTGTTGATTCCTTATCGTAAAGGAGTCGTTCTCTGCAATCGCTTTGAATGCATCTTGGTTGACGAGATTTGCCATGCAGGACCTGTGTGAAGGTATGCATCACAATCCTACTTCTGGAATGTGGAGGATGAACCCTACATTTTGAACTTGAGACGCGGGTCTCACTCTTGCATGTTGAATTTAGAACACGGGTATGACCTCGGCGTTTGGTTTTTGTATCGCGGGTCTAACCTCAGCGTTTTGACTTAAGACATGGAAGTGACTTCCGTGTATTTTTGACTAAGTCTTTGAGACTTGTCTTTAGCTCATCTGTTTCAAGTCTCGGCTCACATCCATTAAGCTAATAGACCTACGAACATGCATAGGATTTTTGACAAACCCTCAGCCATCAACGGATTTGATAAGCCTTTACCGACTACCGTTTGAGTCGGGCTAGCATGTGAATTATTTGAATCCGTTTCACATGTAATGTTTTGCTAAGAGAATGAACCCTCTTAGACTTGATGCTATGATTTTGAATACATAGACTTTGTCATTTTTACGAAAAAAGACTAACCGGTAACGCGTGTTAGGCGTAGGCTTATCTCTAATTAGGAATCGAGATAAAGTCCCCCATGAGTGTGATGCATGGATTTTGATGTCTTTTTCACGACAAAAGACTAACCAACAACGCGTGTTAGGCGTAGACTTATCTCTAATTAGGGATCGAGATAAAATCCCCCATGCGTGTGATGCATGGATTTTGATGTCTTTTTCACGGCAAAAGACTAACCGGCAACGCGTGTTAGGTGTAGACTTATCTCTAATTAGGGATCGAGATAAAGTCCCCCATGCAT